TTGAAGGTTTATTCTTGGTTATGTTTAATGTTAGTATGAGATTTTATTAAAATAATTGTATATAAATGAAATATATTTCGTTATTTGTTGCTTTACTATCGCCTCTAATAATACACATTATTGACTGTATTGGCTCTTTCATTGATGAGCTCTACCCATCCCCAGCGGACATCATCAACAAGCTCTACAATCTTGATACCTTGATATGATTGAGTGGAGATAAGAAAGAAGACTGTTCAATATTCCTTTTTATATAAATAAAATATTTGGCGATCCCCATTAATATTAGTATTCATATTTCTAATAGTTAATGACGGAAGAACCTTCAATACCTAAAGCTTATGTCCATAGTTTGCTTAAATAACATTTCTGAAATTCCACCCTTCACAGTGTAGTGTATAAAAGCAGAATGATCCAATACAGTATTAGAGCTCTAAAGAAGCGGTCTGGTAGATTAAATGGGCGAAACCGCTGGGAGGGTTGACAATTGATGAGCCAAGCCCTCCCAATATATTTTTTCATCGCAGTAAGGACAGTAGAAGTTTGATTTATTTGTGAAAAGACACGTCTTAATATCTCCATTCGTTATATATATATGGCGCGTTATCGCTTTGTAATATAAAGTTTATAATATAAATGCACTTGCAAACAAACAACAAATATAAAACGACACGAATTGCATGAACATTTCTTTATATAAGACCTGAGAAAGAGTAAACACTCGAAAGCTTGCCAGATTTTAATAAAAAAATATAGTATAATTTGTCGTGAATCGCATAGCTTCATGAAAGGAGAAAGAAAAAGAGAAGGGTAAAAAAGACTTGAACATTTATGCCATATAATATATATATATGTATATAATTGCATATCTTTTGTTATTTTGAGAATACGGCCATTATTTATATACATTTCATTCTATAGCGACTATTTAAGGGGAAAAAAACTATTTTTTTATAATAATAGATAATTAAGGAAAAAAATCTTTAAAAAAACATTTCAATAATCCGATTTTTTTTAAATATGAAATTTTAAAAATAATTTTAATACTTATTATGCACAAAGAATGAATTATTCATCAAAAGATATTATACAAATGTGTTTTAGAAAACGACGTCGTCCTTTTAAGAATGGTCTTTTATTTTACAGCCTATAATAATATTCCTATAAAAATTGGGTATATAAATACCTTTTTTGCATATAATAACAATAAAAAGTTGGGGCGAATGAAAATATAAGATTTTATATTCACTAACCATTCTTTAACCATTACATATATTAAATAAAAAACTATCCCATTTTAGTTTTAATGAATAATAGAATTCTTTTGTGTGTATATTTTAAAAGAAAATGGATTTTTTTTAGCTTTTTAAAAATTCGATGAAATTATCTTCTGTTTAAGAATTCTTTCTATATAAAAGGTTCTTTTGATGAAAAATATGGAAGAATTTGTATTTTTTTAGAACAAATTAAAATTGGTTTTATATATAAAAATAGGAAAATCTACATATTGGAAAATATATTTGCTTTTTTTTTATTATATAAACTCTTTTCTCTAAAATTTTATTGGCCCTTATATATCTTTTTTTGACAGGTAATATATTTTATTTTCAAACATATATCCTTGGAAACTATTTTTGGGGCTTTTTTAAAAGCTATTTCTGACATGATTTTAAAACAAGTTGATTTAGAGGTTTGTAGTTTCTTAAAGCAAAAGAAGTTTAAAATATCTTTGTTGTTTAATATTTTATTAAAATGTAAAAAGCAACCTGTAGTGCACTGATAAAAGTATGCTTTTAAGAAACCTTATAAAATTGCATATTGGTGTATTATATATATAAATTTTGAATTATTATTACTACGAGAGATATAAAATAACGAACTCATAACCATAAAGAAGTTTTTTATTGAATATTTAAAGCTTCTTATTAACAGAAAAATCGATGTTAACAATATTCTCAACTGTAGTTCCTCCAATATTTTCTTCTTTGGTGTTCTGCTAACAGCGGGTCCGTTGTCGACAGTAGTTCCTCCGTTCTTCTCTTCTTTGGTGTTCTGCTAACAGCGGGTCCGTTGTCGACAGTAGTTCCTCCGTTCTTCTCTTCTTTGGTGTTCTGCTAACAGCGGGTCCGTTGTCGACAGTAGTTCCTCCGTTCTTCTCTTCTTTGGTGTTCTGCTAACAGCGGGTCCATTGTCGACAGTAGTTCCTCCCTTCTTCTCTTCTTTGGTGTTCTGCTAACAGCGGGTCCATTGTCGACAGTAGTTCCTCCGTTCTTCTCTTCTTTGGTGTTCTGTTAAAAGCGGGTCCGTTGTCGACAGTAGTCTGTAATGAGAGACTCTTGAATTTAGTTGAGATTGGGTTTGACTATCTTTTAAGGTGTTATCTCATGAACACACTCAACTGCATATACACACTCATGGACAAAACTTAAGGAAGTTGTACCTTTTAACATGTATCGGAATTCAGACAATAGCTCTTAAATATATTTGATATGTAGTGACCTTTATTGAAGACACACAAGATAAACCATGTGGGAACAAAATGCCTCCGCCTCCTTCAAGAAAAAATAAAAAAATAAATAAACGACCGGCGATATCAAAGACTTTCCACTTTCTTAAGTCATGTCCATGAGTGTACCTAGTTAAGAAGTCGAATTCGATTAGAGAATTGTTCAATTCGCAGATTGTAGATGTAAGTACAAAGTATAATCTATTTTCCCACAATGAATGTAAACTGTTAATACTATTTAAATACTAAATTAAAAGCTAAACGATGTCTTACTTAATTATGGTATAAATGGGCTTAGATATTTAAAGCCAAAGAGGCTTCAATTAATTTATTTAGGGCCCTAAGGAAAAGCCTTTTTGGCTTGAAAGCTCTTAGCCTAGTTTTATCGTAATAAGGTAACGCATCGTTTAACATTCAATTTTTGTGTATGTAAACAATACAATCTGTTTAGGATTCTATTCAGACCCCAAGGTGTATCTAAACAGCTATCGGTCAGGTCAAAGCACCTTCCATATAAGGAAGAAAGGGGTGCAGCTCATCATCATCAATCCATCATTATTATTACCATGACGAGCTATTGTCTCAACCACCTCATCCATCTAACTGCTCCTTTCACGTAACCATGATTATAGAATTTATTGGGAAGCTTTCGAAGTTTAGCTCGTCTTCAAATAGAGTCGAGGGGCAGTAGAAATATTTCCTAGATAAATGCTGTCACGTAGGGCAGTAAATTTTGTTTAGTACTAGCGTCGATTGGACCCGGATTTATCTGATTACATTTTGACCAGTTTTAGAGGTTCTCCGTAAACTAACTTTTAATTTCAAATAGAATTTTTTATCGTGAAGACATTTATTTTTAAAAAGGTAAATAAAAAAACTATATGCACATATCATGTACGCAATCATATAGTTTTGAACGTCTATTTTTGACGGAAAAAATAACCTTATTTTTTATTTGGCCAATATCCTACCGGCAAAATTTTTCCACATATATACTCATTGACAAAAATTGAGGAAATTGTACCTTTTAGCATGTATATCGGGATTCAGACAATAACTCTGAAAGATACACTCATGGACAAAACTTAAGGAAGGTGTATCTTTTAGCATGTATTCAGACAATAACTCTAAAAGATACACTCATGGACAAAACTTAAAGGAGGTGTACCTTTTCGCATGTATATCGGGATTCAGACAATAATTCTGAAAGATATTACAGTGACCTTTATTGAAGACACACGAGATAATCAAGTGTGAACAAAATTGCTTCTGTCTCGGATATCATAAAATCAAAACCCATCTTGTTCTGATGAGGCCTTTAGCCTGAAACCATGTTCTTCAGGTAAGAGTTAAAAAATTTATTATTATTTATTTGGTTAGTTAACTCAGGTTCCTGGAGCGTACAGAATTGAAAAAGAAGAAAACCCTCCAAAAAAAAAAAACGAAAATAATTAGGATATTATAAAATCCATTACTCTATAAAATAGTAGTACACCTATCCCCCGATTTACACGGTACTTGTTTTACACGTTTTCGCTTCACGGTTTTCCAAATAAGTTTTTTTTTTATCGCACTATACTAAATGCTACTGTGATTGAACACATGCGCTGTGTACACATCTCACGAGGAATCCCGAGCTTATGTGCTGACTACATATTTTAACCTGTCAATGCATTTTATTTTTATTTCTGTGTACACCTATCCCCCGATTTACACGTTTTTCTCAGGAACGTATCTACCGTGTAAATCGGGGGATAGGTGTATTTATTTATTAGAGAGAGAGAACCTCCAATTTCATAATTAAATATCCACGCTGCACCAGCAATTATTCTCTATATGTAAAAAAAAAAAAACTCACTTTAAAAAAAGCCAAAGTGAGAAGAACTAATGTAATAGTGTTTATTCTATAAGCTCTAGTCAAAAAAAGGCAAAATAAATAATTGATTCCACAAAGTTAACGAGAGTACATAAATAAGGATTAAGAAAATAAAATTAGGAAAGGAATGAAAATATAGGACAGAAATGTTAACCGCCGTCGTTTGGCAATAAATACCAGTGTTACCAGGCTTTTCCTTTTATTTCCTTCTTTCCAAATATTCCCAGACAAAAGAATGTTATAGAAAATGTGCAAATAGAAAAAATAACACAATAAATAAACTTTCAATATATACCAAAAATAAAAAATTAAAGTTATAAAAGTCGCAAATTTGGCTTGCACATATTTGATTATTATTATATTTTTTAATTGATATTAATTTATTTTTTTTTCTATTAATAAAAAAATAGTTTGAATCCTCCAAATTTTTTACGAGATCCATCGATTATCTTGAAAATTATATTTATTTCCAACCTGAAAATGTATGTCTTGTTTAATTTAAAATGTGGGAAAACTTGGGATAATATAATTGAACTAGCCGAATGACCCGGGCAACGCCCGTGTTTTACCCGATTGAATGTTTTGATTCAAATACTATTTGTTACAATTATAAATTGTGGTCATGTGGCCTAGTGGTCATGGCATCTGCCCGTTAAGCGGAAGGTCGTGGGTTCGATTCCCATCCCTTGACACTTTTTTTTATTTTATCCATTCTGACCAAAATCTATCCGTGAACTTCATTGTACTGGGATAAGGTGCGTATATTAAGAAAAAGGCATCTCCTTAGCGTGCAACTGAAAGTTGCTGATGGCTGGCGCCATCTATCGGAATAAATATCAACTATTCTCGTTGATTTTTAATTATTCCAGAATTGGCCAAATACCCATTCTTGATTAATAAAGAAAAGCTAACCACGGACGCGTTTTCGGGCTGTTGGCCCTCATCAGCGTGGTGCAAGCTGTACCTCAACGAACAAAATATACGCACCTTATCCCAGTACAATGTTACATTTGTACTATTTTTTCACATTGTGTAGCGTCCTCACGCAATTCTGGCCTTAACTACCCGTTTCATGATTTTTCAGGATGCCTTAATGACCAAATTTTTTTTGTTCGTTGAGGTACAGCTTGCACCACGCTGATGAGGGCCAACAGCCCGAAACGCGTCCGTGGTTAGCTTTTCTTGATTAATCAAGAATGGGTATTTGGCCAATTCTGGAATAATTAAAAATCAACGAGAATAGTTGATATTTATTCCGATAGATGGCGCCAGCCATCAGCAACTTTCAGTTGCACGATAAGGAGATGCCTTTTTCTTAGAATAATATATAATTGAATAAGCCGGGGTTCGTGATAGAAAATATTCATTGCTTGGGTGAAATGTACATTTGATGTCTGTTTGAGTTATGTAGGTCATTGACATTTTGGATAATTACTGAAATCCGATGTCCAACAATGAACAAATCCTAATAATCTGCCGTCCAACAATGAACAAATCCTTATAATCTGCCGTCCAACAATGAACAAATCCTAATAATCTGCCGTCCAAAATGAGCAAATATCAACAATCTGACGTACAACAATGAACAAATCCAAACAATCAGATGTCCAAGAATGGACAAATCCCAATAATAGAAGAATCTCAACAATCCTATGTTAGCAATGGACAAATCTCCCTTCCCCCTAACAATCCAATCTGAGGTTCAACCATGATACGTTCAACAATGGACTCTTCCCAACAATGGACGAATGTCAACAATCCGAGGTTAAACAATGGATAAATACCAACAAACTGAGGTTCAACAATAGACTATTGTCAACAATCTAACATCTGGCGTTCAACAATGGAAAAATCTCAACAACCTGACACCCAACAATGGACAAATTCTAACAATCCATCGTCCACAATCATCTAATCACAATATGATGTACGTCATTAAAAAAAAATTAAAAATCTTTTGTCCAACAATTGTCAAGTCCCAATAATCTGAATTTCAACAACCTAAATCGAACCACCAACAATCGACACATTCCAACAACCCCCAACAAATTTAATCAATCAAACTTCCAACAAACCACAAATTAAACATAAGACTTAACACGCCTGCTTTATATAAGGGAAAAAACAAAACATTAAGCATGAATTTTCCTTCATTAAACAAAAAAAAAACCTTTCTACTGTCCTTACTGAGATGCAAAATTTACGGGGAGGGTTTTGGCTGTGTGTGGCTGAGTGGTGAACCCTCCCAGCGGGTTTGCCAATATAATCTCCCATACTGATTTTTAGATCTCTAATCTATATCTAGAGTCGTCCAATACAACAGCTCTTAAAAAGCGGTCAACGCTAGTTAACGGCCATTTTCCAAAAGTCCCTAGACTCTACATTTAAAATAATATCAAAATCTAAATATATAATTGCTGATTAATTGTTCAAATAATTTGAAATATCGTCCTAAAGAGTCCTCACATCTGACCAGTGACCATTATAACAGGTTTTTAAAGTTAGAATTTCTTTCATAAATAGTCTTAAATAGCAACTGACATTTTTACTATTCCATTTAAAACAAGATAGGCCTTGTTTTATAAAGAGAAATAATCGGATGATGATTTTTATGAATTATAATGATATATCATAAAAAAATAATATGATTAATTAAAGAACACACATCATTAAAGACCATTCTTGGGATTCCTTCTTTAATCAGGCTTTCTACTCTATAGTATTCATATACAATCATGGACTACAACTTAGGAAGTTGTAAATTTTACCATCGATGGTACACTCATCGACAAAACTTAAGGAAGTTGTACCTTTTAGCATGTATATCGGGATTGAGACAATAACTCTGAAAGATATTACAGTGACCTTTATTGAAGACACACTATATACACTCATGGACAAAACTTAAGGAAGTTGTACCTTTTAGTATGTATATCGGGATTCAGATAATAACTCTGAAAGATATTACAATGACCTTTATTGAAGACACACAAATTAACTAAGTGTGAACAAAATCGCCCCTGTGTAAAAAAAAAAAAATTGTTTACGAGTGTGCATTTTTTTTCCTCCCGAGGTTAAAAAAAAAAATGCCGAAACCCGGGATCGAACCAGGGACCTTTAGATCTTCAGTCTAACGCTCTCCCAACTGAGCTATTTCGGCGATACGTAAGTCTATCTTTTATGTAATATAAGATAATCAATCTATAGATGTAATGCTTGTTCCTTTTAACCATCAAAAACATTTAAAATAAAAAAAAAACATAAAATACATCACAAACGCAATATTGATTTCTTTATTTCGACGCTTGCACTTTAAAAATAAATAAAATTTTTAAAGAAGAGAAAGAAAGATATTTTAATTATGTACAGAATTAGTATGCAAGTTAGTTAGATGAAAAGATAATATATATATATCAACATAATTGATATATGTACAAAGGGTTGGTATGCAAATTTAGTTAAATGAAATCAAATTGTAAAGTATTGTGTTTATTCGAGAAAAGCAATTTACAGATTAAAAAAAAGTTTTAAGGAATATTTTATTATGAAAATATGCTAGATATTAGAGAATTATTCAGTTAAAACAATACTAAAAAGAGTTAATTACCAAATTGAACACAATATTGATTAAATTCAATTGTAAAATATACAACAAAACTTTTATTCAAACAGTTTTATAAATGGATTCACCTCAAAGTGTCAAACATAAGATGTATTTAGATAGAATAATACATGAAGGTATATAAGGTCTGTGAAAAAAAAAATCAATAA